AAAAAAAAAAAAAAAAAAAAAAAAGAGAACACAGGCCCATGGGGGAAACACAAAACAAACAATTCAGGCAAATAGCAATATCCTGGAAAGAAATTTGGTCCTCTCAGAGCTTTCCTTTACCAATTTAAACTTTAAACTGGTTTAAATCAAAACAAATGCAAAGTGTCCTCTGACTGCAGAAACAACTGACCTCCTACAGACTGTCATCTGAGAGAAAGCACCAACCCCTCACTTCTCTTTTGCCTGAGAGAACCAACAGCCGACCAACCTCCCAGGAACTCTCATCTAGGAGAATTGATCAAAACAAATGCAGAGCATCCTCTCACTGCAAAGACAACCAGACAAAAGTCTGTGAGAGAACACAAAACTCTTGAGGCTGTCTGCCTGAGAGAAATAACAAATCTCCCAGTACTCTCATCTAGGGGAGTTAGCAAACCTCTCAAGGCTGTTTGCCTGAGAGAAACCAACTACCCACATCTGGGAGCTAGAGCCCTGCTAAACAAAAGCCAGTCTCTCTAAGAATAAAGAAAATGAAAGAGAAAGCGAATTAGGTCTTACCCTGTAGGGGAGTGTGACTCTGTTCCTTTCTCGACCATGGTATGCAGCCCTCAGCCATTCACGGGCAGCTAGCTGAACTCAGCTATGGCACTAAAACCACCCAGAAGTGGCTTTCAGTCCAGGGAGTCCTCTCAACATTAGAATCTAGCCATGGAAATCTCGCTGGGGCCTCCATATGAAATGGGGAGATTATTTCCATGTCAGACTGAAAACTGGGGAAAAAACAAAGTTTAATAATAAAGTCGGCCAGCAAACCCTACCTGGGTTACAGATCTTAAATGTCTGGCCATTGTCCGAACACACTTCCCTGACCCTTCCAGATCAGAAGCATGTTGGGCCTAACAGGAGGTTTTGGGAGCCTTGAAAATGCACACATAGTTCACAGTGGGAAGAAGGTAGTACATTTCAAGACAGCTGAACAAGGATGTGCCATAGAGAAGTATGGCGCCTAGAGGGTGTATTGTGTACAACCAAAGCACCAGCTACTATGGTGAGCAAAGCAAAGAGGCTGAGAGCCAGATTGTGATGGTACTGAATGCCATGCTAAGGAATCTGAGCTTTCCTTTATAGGCATTGAGGAGCTAATGTAGATGTTTAAACAAGTTAAAGTCATGTAATCTAGACTGTCCTTTAAAAAGACCTCTTTTGATCTTTTTACACTTTTGTTGTATAAATAATGGTGGGAGAGGAGGAAGTCATGCTTAGGATGACTGGTGAGGAGTTAGCTGCAGGAGTTTAACCGGA